TCTTACAGGATTTTTTAAGAGTCTTAAGTAGATTTGAGTGCAAAAATTCAACTGCTGGTTTTTAGAATGTTTTGCTAGGTGAAATTTTGCCATGTATGTATTTGGTTTGTTACCTTGCAAAAGCACCCTTGGTTGTTGGTAGAGACTACAAGATGAATCCTTGGTCTTAGTTAAATGTAAAACCTGCTAATTCTATGCTTTTGTTCTTAAATTATGACAGTGTGGACCGTCAGAAGGAAAAATACTTCTAATAAGCATGTAACTGTAAGTAGGCTTTCTTCATAAGTTTAAAATAAAAACAGCAGTACAATAGCTTCAGAGATTTTACTTGTGCTTTCTGCTTCCTTTGCCACTCTTTTTTTTAAATCCAACTTGCTCCTTTATTTTTATACATCTCATTGCGCTGGGCCTTGCCTGAAGTCATCACTGCTGTCCTTATTTTGACAAGAATGCAAGGGGAAGCAGCCTTAAATGACTGAGAAGCTTCAAAGACATCGTGGGCAGTAGCTTCATCTGTACTTAATGAAAGGGTTTGAGCAAAAGTAGAAACCTGCAGAATGATCTGGCAGTAAGGGTTCAGCAACAGCTATTGTGGCACAGTTTCCTGAAGAGTGGGCAAAGACACTCAAAGGTTTTCAGTGTTTTGAGCTAATTGAGGCCTTTCTGCACTTACTTTTAGGCAGGACAAAACACTGAGCCTTGATTTGCAGGTCTGGAGGCAAGGAAGGTGTCAGTTATGCTTGATATCAATTCAGAGGGATGGTGGGGATTGTGCTCCTGGTGTGAACTGAGAGGCTACCACCCACCCTGCTGATTTCACCTGGTCACCTAGGAAATAGTCCAGCTTTCCTTAGTGGATCCAGACTGAAGTCTTCAAAACTGACCGGTGTTTTATGATTTATTGTTTTTTCCTCCAATGCATACAAGACTTGATATTCACAGAATGTTATTGTGTGAAATATCTTATTTCTGAAATGGCTTGCTGAAGGCTTTGGGTGGGTTTAATTACATACACTCTCCAGCAGCCACCATGTTACAGCTCTGGCCCATATGTGCCATTTATCTTCTCTTCATCCTGAACTACTCACCGTGAGCTGTCCCTGAGGCCTCTCGATCAAAAAGGGATGCAAGAAATTAAAGCAGCCTGTTTTGTCTGAAAGGGCTTGGGGACAGCTTATGAGGAGCAGCTGATGCAGTAAGGTTGATGTAATACTGACCTTGGGCCAGGGGACAAACAGTGTGCAGATGAGGCTGATCACCTCTGTAGCTGGCCCAGCTGTATCAGGAAAAGGACATCCCTAAATTAGGCACTCAGAGTCATTCAGTCACTTTGAAAAGCCTGAAACTTGGACATTATTCCTGCT